ACAGTAGTTGTTACATGACAATAGGTTATGAGCTCTGGGTTGTAACTGGCCCTCACATCACTCCAAAGTGCAAAGAGCCTTACTCTTTGAGTTTCATCCCTCGCGCTATGTGTTGTACCCATAGAGTGATCTCGCACTGCACACACAATACTCCCCACATTGCACACAACACCACACGCTAGAGTCACCCTCTAGTGCATGTCTGATTCCTCTGCCTCATGCCTACCTTCACCTACACCTGCCACTTGTTTGCCGTGCTCTACACCAGCTGTTTGTCCTCCGCATACAATTCTTGCCACTTCTGCTACTCCATCTACATCTCAATTCACCTCCACCATGCCTCGCCGTACAGCAATGTCCTCTGCCTCCACGTGCACATCCGCTACCGGTTCACTATCAATGAAACTCGACACAATCGGCAAGCTCAAAGGTTTCAGAAACTACCCCCACTGGTCCCTCATGATGCAGCAGTACTTCATTGCTGCACATGCATGGAAGGTCGTCAATGGCACCAAGACACAGCCCACAGCAACTACTTCCACTGCAAACATTGACACGTAGGAGACCACCAACACATACACGAGGTTCTACATCCTCAGCACACTTGGCGACGAGCTCTTGCACCTCGCAAATTCAGTGGACATTACAGCTGCCATGCTGTGGAAGAAACTGAAGGACAACTATGCCACCTCCACTATGATGTTGGCATTTGTCAAGTTCAAGGTGTAATTCTCACATGCCATCAATGACAGTGATGACCTCGCTCACCAGCTCGACAAACATGCCCAACTCTGGCAGAAAGTAAGCACTGTAGAAGGGTATTCAGCCTAAGCGCCGAAGAACCGCAGAACACGACCTATGTATGCACTTACGACGTTTTCCTTCTCGCTTTCTCTCTCTTCCCTCTCCATAGTCTATAGGGCGCAGCACGGACATTGCACAACTCACAAGACGACCAAACGGCCTTTCCCGACAGCCGTCGTCAGGCGTGGTCCATCCTCCTGACGCTCATAATGGAAGCGGATGGATCACGGTTCCTGGTTATCTTACGCTCGTTCATGTCATCCAGTTTTCACTTCTCTCACACGACTCCCGTCTCATTCTAGCTTTTCTCCCTCGATCCCCTTTTCCTTCCTTCCCAACATGTATGGCTCGCAACGGTCATCGACGAGGCTCCCGGAACACAGGACGTAGGCAGCACCACGACGAGGGCATTCACCCGCAGTCTGAGGGCGGCAGACAAGCGCAGGAAAATAGATAGAGCCCCCCCCCAGTTGTCGAGTGCACTGAGACATTGCCTGTCAGAACAGAGCGTCGCCGAGAAGCCGCCAAGAGTCTTTACCTTCATAAATGGACATTCAGACCCCGATACCGTACGCTTTCCTCTTCTTCCTCCCTCTTTGGCTTCGTTGCATGTCACTCCTCCTCTTTTTCAGATCCAATACCTTCGTTTCGGACAATCTGGCCCCCGGTCGAGAGAACAACAGTGGGAAGGCTCACTTTGTAACATATAATCTCGCGTCTCGGACATGAAATGGACAAGCACCCCTTTCCCCCCTCTTCACGCATAAAGTCTGCCCCTCTCGTCATTCGTCCCCTGAGTCATCGAGTAACATCCGCGGCGAGCGCGGATTCGAGTTATCGAGTCGAGTAAGTGTTTTATTCCCTGTTCATCGAGCTAAGCTACTAGTCTAGAATACAAGATCACCTCCGGCCATCCCTTCCCTTCACGTCTAGCCCCGCATATATTGAGCACCGACCCGTACGCAGAAACCTCCTCCACAGCGCCTCCAGAATCCTTCAAACTCCAGAGCTGCTCCAGATCTTTGGCCTGCTCACAGCTCTCCCCAACTCCTACAACAATGTCGTGGAGCCCATCCTCGCAGTCACAAAACCTGCCGACCTAAAGCTCAATGACATCTGCAACCATCTCCTTGACAAAGCAAACATCATGGTACCAACATTGCCACCTTCTGTGCTCCTAATGTGAAGGCTTCCTCTTTGGGCAAAGCCAAGTCTGGCAAACCCAGAAAGGTGGGCAAGTGCAACTTCTGTGGGTACAAAGGCCACCATAAGCAGGATTGCAGGAAGAAAAAGGCCACTTCTAACAAAGTGAAAAAGGTTGCTGCAGGCAAAACTAGCAACAGTAAAAGTAATCTGTCTGGTAGTAGTACTGGTTCCACATCTGTACATGTAGTCACCGCTGAGGAGCCACTGCTCCTGAGGCC